AAGCACACTGTTCTGATCTGGATCTCTGGAGGGAGAGTGGTGCAGGCGGTGTAAACATAAGGAGCCAGGTGACACAGCGTGGGGGTATAAAGGGAACAGGGTTATTGGAAACCCACTTACAAGTGCACTTATTCAACAATTTACTGAGGGGCTAGTGTGCCAGAAACAGAGAGATAAAAACTAAAGCGTCTACCCTCCTGGACAACACCAAAGCAATGCCCGAGATGGCAGAAGTGCTATGGGGAGGAACGCAGGAGGGTGAGGTGAAGAGACTAGGAGAGGGAAGCATGTTTCCTACACAAAGAGGTCACTGAGACCCAGACCTGCAGCTCTGCAGGGAGTGAATCACAAACAGGTGGGCCTTGAGGAGGGCGAACAAGGAGACCAGTTTGGTCAGAAGTCAGAGGCAGTGTAGGGAGAGGCCAAAGAGCAGGGCAGTAACGAGCAGGAGCAGGATGGGGAAACACACAGATCTTGGTTACTTAGTGTACTAGCGAACACCAGAGCTGGCACTTCCTTGCTATACCATCCTGGTTCACCTGTCCTACCAAGCCATTCTGTTGCTATTTATCATTCATGAGCGCTATATTTCAGTTCTACTCAAAATATAGTCTTTTTGATTTGTTGTCTGGCTCACTCCCTCAAATGCCTGTGACAGAAAGTACTGGACCCCACTGAAGACGAGTCACAAACTCCATCCAGGTTTCCCGTGAGAGTGGCAGGAACTCCAGTACTTGAGCCATTACCTGCTGGTCCCAGGATACACAGTAGCATGTAGTTGGTGTGAAAGCAGAGAGCAGGGACTCAAACCAGGGAACTAGGCTGGGGATGGCACATCCTGACTGGGGATGAGGCGTCCCAGGCAGCAGCCTAACCTTCTCTTGCTAAAAGCTGAAAAACGGTCTAGAATCCTCCTGTACCCCTGGCCAATTTTTTGCTGGGGGAATTTGTCTCTTTGGGTGAGGTTACTTCCCTGCCCTGTGCCAGGGATCGTTGGCCACATGCTTGGCCTCAAACAACCCAATGCCAAACCGGAGCTCACTTTTTGGGGGTGAAACAGCACATTTGTTCTGTCAGGGACCAGGTGATAAATGCTTATGCTTAGGCAGGCTATAAGGTCCTTGTCACAATTACTCCAGCTCTGAATGGAGTGCAGAAGCAGCCACTGGCATGATATAAACAATTAGTATGGTTATGTTCCAAGAAAACTTTATTTTGGGGAATGGAACTTGGATTTCACGTAATTTTCACTAGTGGTAAAATATTCTTCCTTAAAATTTCTATTTAACCACTAAAAAATGTCTAAACTATTCCTGCCTTATGGCTAGGACAAAAACAGATGGTGGGCCAGATTTGGCTGCCTTGTGGTTGATTGCTACTTGCAGACTCCATTTTAGCAGGTTCTTAATCGGCAGTCCCTTACTTGAAGATATTCATGATTAAGAAGCAGTAAACTCTGAAACCCTTGAACAAGCAAATGTTCTGTGCAGATGTGCAGTTCAAGGTAAAGGGGGTGAGAAGGTTCACAGTTTTTATCCGATTTCCTAAGGGGTTTCAAGTATAAAGAAGTTAAAACACTGGGGCCACCATCAGCTTTTCTCTTAAAAACAAAACTATATACTTCTGTAGGCATCGATAAGGTACCGCTAATTTCATACTAGCTTGTTCCTGAAGCAAATAGGAAAGTTAAAGACATTTAAGCCTGTGGAAACGAAAGGTGGACTAGTAAAGCTTAGTTCCTTCAGGCACCCAAACTTGTAAAAACTAATTCTCAATGTGAACTTTTTCTTTGTTAAACACATATGCCTATTTTTTTACATGGACGTACTGAATATATAAAAGGGCATACTTAAAAGCAACAAATCTAGGGGCTGGTGCCATGTTGCAGTAGGTTAATCCTCCATCTGCGGTGCCAGCATCCCACATGGTCGCTGGTTTGAGTCCCAGCTGCTTCAACTCCCTGCTATGTGCCTGGGAAGGAAGAGAGAGACGGCCCAAGTTCTTGGGCTCCTGCACCAACTTGTGAGACCTGAAAGGGATTCTAGGTTCCTGGCTTTGGTTCAGTCCAGCTCCGAGGGCCACTATCACTGTTTGGGAAGAAAACTAGCAGATGAAGGGCCTTTCTCTCCGCCTCTCCTTCTTGTCTTTCAAACAAAAATAAACCTTTTAAAACATATCTAAAGGTTATTATATTTACCCTCTTAGATCAGGTTAAATCTGGAAGAGCACACACACTGAGAGAGGTTAAGTGGCTGGCCCCCGGCATCTTCTATAAGGCTGTTAGACCCATATTAGTCTTCCTCTCCCTCTTCCTTGGCCCTTCCTGTGTTGTCTTGCTCACAATAACCCAAGCATACAGCTGAGTGTAAAATACTATTGATTAACACAGTATCCTGAACTGTAGGCTCCTCTTCAATAAAGCATTTATAAAAAAAAAAAAAAAAAAGCACTGGGGCAAGCATGACGACTCAATCGGCTAACCTTTCACTTGTAAGAGCTGGCATCCCACAGGGGTGCCGGTTCATGCCCCAGCTGCTACACTTTCCACCCAGTTCCCTGCTTGTGTCCTGGGAGAGCAGTCAAGGATGGCCCAATGCCTTGAGACCCTGCACCCATGTGAAAGACCCAGGAGAGGCTCCGGGCTCCTGGCTTTGGATTGGCTCAGCTCCAGCTGTTGTGGTCACTTGGGGAGTGAATCAGTGGACAGGTCTTCCTCTCTGTCTCTCCACTTTGTATATCTGACAGTCCAATAAAATAAATGTTTAACTAAATAACTATATAAATAAGTCATACTTCTGTTCACTCAGATGCAGGAGCTACCTGATGCCAGATCAGCTCTCAGCAACTTGCAGTTTTCCACCTCTACTTTAGGCTACCCTGTCTCAAAGGGACTGTGACAAAGCCTGCTGGCCTGCTGGTTGCCCCATGTTCCTCATGGCTGCTGTTCCCCACCCAGCAACCATCTAGTGAACATGCCGCTCCCCAAACAAGGACTCCAGATGCTTCCTCTTACTCGTTTGCTATCCACTGGGACCTTACCTCCAACACTCTTTCTGCCCTACGCTGCAGCCAGACTGGCCTTCTTAGTATTCTCTAAGTAGGTCAAGTTTACTGCTGCTTCAAGGTTTCTCACATGCACTTTAGGCTAAGGCAATTCTTGTAAATCTTTCTTATTGTTTAGGTCACCGAGCAAAACATCAGCTCCTTTAAGTAGTCATTCCTCATTTTATTTTCTTCACATTTAGCAATTCACAAAATTACCTTTTCTTACACATATATCTCTTTTTTTTCAAATTGGAAAGGAAGATTTACAGAGAGAAGTAGAGAGAAAGAAAGATCTTCCCTCTGCTGGTTCAGTCCCCAAGTGGCCACAACAGCCAGAGCTGAGCCAATCTGGAGCCAGGAGCCAGAATCTACTTCTGGCTCTCCCACATTGGTGCAGGGTCCCAAGGCTTTGGGTCGTCCTCAGCTGCTTTCACAGGCCACAGGCTCTGCGCATCCTATTTCCTGTGGCTAAGGCCCCTGGGTTCCTGCCAGCCCCGTGTAAGCTCTGGGTTCAGTTCTTGAGTTTATTCATCACAGGGATGGGCCTCCAGCTCAGCCTGGCTCAGCTGCTGCTGCTGTGGGCGGTGGGGCCTCTGTCCTTCTACCTTTAAAACCAACAGAGAGAAGTTGAGAATACTTAGCATACCTCCTACCAATTTGCTTATCACCAAGCCTTGGTATTTCAGGCATCACTGAGTAAGCTTCCCCTGATCTTATTTAACAGTGAAAAGCAAAGCATTTAGCACAGCAGGTTTGCTGAAATGCTTTAACCCCTAGGTAACTAAATTCATAAAACTTGGTTGGTTTACTTTCCAGTACTAAACACACACACAAAAGCCAAGACAAGCTTATAAGAATCCAAGAAGTGCCTCTTTAGAACTTGGTTCTAGCCTTAAGTACTGCCTGACCATCTTACAGCATTATGTAACTGATTCTCTGCAATCTGAGATAAGTATGTTTACGTACACATGTGCATTCTTGGGATGGTAGTTATTAAATAAATCTTATAAGTAAAAAGGAAAAAAAGGATACTCATTTTAAAAGCTAGGAACCCCAAATCACCACTGGCAATAAAAGCAAATATCCCCGTGGGCAGACACTTTGGCTTTTCCTCCCTGTGATGAATAAACTCAAGTCTGAGCTACGATGTTACAATACAGTGTACCCAAGGTCACTGCTTTATCATTTTAGTCCACTGAACCAAAAAGAAAAACCCATTTGGAGAAGAAAAAGCAAATTCGGTAGTTTCAAAAGTGAGATTTTTACCAGTAACAGGATTACAACTGACTCACAGAATTAAAAAAAAAAAAGTGCAGAGTATAACTACTGGGGGCAATTGGGACAGAAACCCCATAGTCACGTTACTAAAGACGTTATAGTACAATCCCCTGTGAGAAAATCGGCGGGGCACTTGACACGAGCTGCCTCTTCCTTTCAGATGGAGGCACAAAAGCCCCTGGCCACCCAACAAGTTGCCCAGAAGGTAAACTTCGCCGGGTTCCGGAGCTAGAAGTGGGGTAACCCGAGACTGAAATGCACGCGTCTCAACTCACAGGAGGAAAGCCGAAAAGCACCAGCGACGGGGTTGCCATGCTGCCAGCTCCACCCTCGGCGCCCTAGCCCCGGCCAGACGCGGTCTCACCGCTGCCGCCCTCCTTCCACACCCGACCGCGACGCCAGGAGAGGGCCCCGGGCCTCCTCGCCCCTGCCCGGTCGCGAGCGGGGAGCCCGGGGACGCTGGGCGCCGCCGTGCCCTGCCCGCGCCCCGACCCCAGCCCCGGACTCACTCCGCAGCCCCGCAGCGAGCGCAGCCACCGCAGCCGGGTCCCCGCGAACCGCCACAGCCCCTGCTCAGGGCCGCCCCCCGCCCCTAGCCCGGCGGCTTCCGGGGCGGTCGAAGGAATCACTTCCGTCGGGTCACAGCCACTGGCGGCGACGCGCGGGAGATGACTTACCTGGGATTCTTTCCCCGACTTCCGCCCGCAGGAAGTGCGTACAATATCTCCCGCCTTCCTTCTTCCCGGTGACACTCAGGAGCGTTGAGTGCTCCCCCCCACCCGGCAGATCGCATCCAATCCGATTCTTGGATGTCTGGGTTCCCATCATGCAGTGCTCACCGGCTCCGTTCCTGCAAGGACCGCATCCTCCAAGAGGCGCTTGGAAGTCCAGGAAGCACTGCATCCTGGGATTTGTAGTTTCTCGGGCGGACTGGGGTGGGGTTCTGTGGGTGCTTGGCCCGAAGCAGCACTGCATCCTGGGGCTTGTAGTTTCTCCTACTTCGTGTTCCGGCTTGGAGTGGTGGGTGGTAGCGGTGGTCCCTGCCTCTTGGATCCGGGTATAGCTACAAGTGGAGGGCTTTGAAGGACGTGGTGTGAACGTGTGCTTCCTATGCTAACAAGACTGTGCGCCTGACAGGTGGCGGCTGGCGTTTGTGGGACGCAGCGATGCGCGATGGGCGTCTGAGCTGCCGCGCTCTCCGGGGCCCGTTTCCTCTGTTCCCGGTAGGGTTCCGTGTTTACTGAAAGCTGGCCGCCGCCCCGCCCCGCGCCTTCCCCTGCGCTCGGGGGTCTCGCCTCACTCTCCCGCCCAGGTTACTCATGCTGAGCGGTCCTCCTTGCATTCCTGCCTGCACGCCTCCCACACACACTCTCTATCCTGGCTTTCCTGTGGTTTGATAGTCAGGCTTCTTTCCAGGAAGGCTGAAACAGCTAAATAAAGCTCTCCCTCCCCTGTTTTCGGCGAGTGAGGCACGAAGAGAATGTCAGGGCCAAGACACCCTCGCAGATTGTGCAACTCCACGCTCTTGTGTAATGAGGAATTTTTGCCGAATAGGCTTCTTAGTTGATATGGCTTATAAAAAGGTATTGCTTTTGTAGAATTAGCTGTCAAAAAAAAAAAAAAAAAAAAAAAGGACACACTGTCCCACATTTTCAGAGCCTTTGTGAAAATCCTCAGCTTTTTTTTTTTCTTTCCTTTTTATATGCTGGTTTAAAATAGAGCTTGGTAAGGGAAGAGCAGTGTTGAAGAGCAGAAGAGGAGGCTGTGGGACCCTTTCTGATTTTCTGATATTTCCGTCTTTAAATGGCACCTTTAAGAAGAAATGCATGGGACACAGAGAGTCATGCTTTTAAAACAGCCTTAGGGACCTGGCACCTTAGTCTAATGCCTAAACGCTCACCTGTAACTGCCGGGATCCCACATGGGCACCGACTAATGTCCTGGCTAGTCCACATCCCATCCCTGCTTGTGTCCTGGGAAAGCAGGTGAGGACAGCCTTGGGACCCTGCACCCATGCGGGAGACGCAGAAACTCAGCTCCAGCTCTGACCCTTGCAGCCACGTGGGGAGTGAACCAGCAGACAGAACATCTGTCTCTCCTCTCTGTAAATCTCCCTTTCCAGTAGAAAAACTAAATAAATCTTTAAAAAAAAAAGATATGATGTAAACAAAATAGAAAACAAGAAAACCAGCCTTAGTATCAATAATATCTCACTGAAGTGTTTTATAATCAATGTATGTATGTCTTCAAGGTACTAGAATTAGAAAATCCATTTACAATAAGTTAAAATTCCATATAATGTTGTAGCACAGGTTTTAATTATTATGCCATTTAATTATTTAGAAACTTGAAATAAATAAAATGTCATTTAGTTTGCTTATATCTGAAGGACATGGCCTGCATAGTGGCTAAGGTCCTCGCCTTCAATGTGCCAGGATCCCATATGGGCACCGGTTCTAATCCCAGCAGCTCCACTTCCCATCCAGCTCCCTGCTTGTGGCCTGGGAAAGCAGTCAAGGACGGCCCAGAGCATTTGGAACCTGCACCCGCGTGGAAGACCCACAGAGAAGTTTCTGATTCTTGGCTTTGGATTGGTGCAGCACCAGTCTTGCAGCCACTTGGGGAGTGAATCATCAGACAGAAGATCTTCCTCTCTGTCTCTCCTCCTATCTGTACATCTGCCTTTCCAATAAAAAGAAATATATCTTTCAAAAAAAAAATATATGTGTATATCTGTAGGACAGAAGATGAAAAATTTAGATTATCTCAAAAGATTAAAAAATATTCTTTACATGAAAAGAAAATTTCAAATGTAGGTCAATAAAATAATAGATGGTAGATGCTATTTGTGATATGAATGATTCTGAATCAGAGTTTCAAAAATGTGAATAGATATTCCTTTGAGAAAATAGAAGTTTTCGGGGCCCGGCGTGGTGGCACAAGTGGTTAAGGTCCTCGCCTTGCACACCCGGGATCCCATATGGGCGCCGGTTCTATCCCAGAAGCCCCGCTTACCTTCCAACTCCCTGCCTGTGGCCTGGGAAAGCAGTCAAGGACGGCCCAGAGCTTTGGGACCCTGCACCCGCGTGGGAAACCCGGAAGAGGCTCCTGGCTTCGGACCAGCATAGCATCGGCCCGTTGCGCTCACTTGGGGAGTGAATCATTGGACGGAAGATCTTCCTCTATGTCTCTCCTCTCTGTATATCTGCCTTTCCAATAAGAAAATAATAAAAATAAATCTTGAAAAAAAAACAAAAAGAAAATAGAAGTTTTCGGGCCCAGTGCAGAAACCTACTGGCTAAAATTCTCGTATGCTGGTATCCCAAATGAACACTGGTTCTAATCCCGGCAGCCCCACTTCCCATCCAGTTCCTTGCTTATGGCCTGGGAAAACAGTCGAGGACAGCCCAAAGCCTTGGGACCCTGCACCCTCATGGGAAACCCAAAAGGGGCTCCTGGCTCCTAGCTTCAGATCAGCTCAGCTCAGGCCATGTGGCTACTTGGGGAGTGAATCAGTGGACAGAAGATCTTCCTCTCTGTCTCTCCTGCTCTCTGTATATCTGACTTTCCAATTGAAAAAATGAATAGTTAAGAAAAAGAAAATAGCAGTTTTCATAACTGCAGGCAGGCCTAGACCACTTTTCAGGTTGTGTTGCTTATTTTAGGAAGTTGCATGCCACATATGTAGAGTGCCCCCAGTGATTTACAATATTAATTCTATGATCAGAAACTTTTTTCTTTTTTAAAGATTTCTTTATTTTTAATAAAAAGGCAGACTTATAGAGAAAGGGAGAGACAGAAAGATCCTCCATCTGCTGGTTTACTTTTAAGATAGCTGCAAGGGCTGGAGCTGAGCTGACCTGAAACCCGGAGCCTGGAGTCTGCTCAGCATCTCCTACACAGGTGCAGGTTCCCAAGGCCTTGGGTCATCCTCGACTGCCCTCCCACAAAACAGGGAGCTTGATGGGAAGTGAGGCTGCCAGGATTAGAACTGGTGCCTATATGGGATCCCGGGGCATTCAAGGTGAGAACTTTAGCCACTATGCTACCACGCTGAGCCCGCTTTGAAACTTTTTGTGCAGGTTTCTAGTAGACACTTTGGAAATAAAAGTTGATTGATAGCCCTGAAGCTGGAGGTCCAGATACCCACATCGCATACTGTAATGCCTGGGTGCGACTCCAGGATCTGGTTCCTGCCACTGAGGCAGCAGTGATGTGAACAGCAGGCAGGCTGGGTCCAAGCCTGTCTGATGAAAGGAGCAGAGCATACAGTAGGTGCCTCTTCCATTAGTGGCGCTCAGGTTTCAGGAGAGCAGGTTGGCAGGGATTACCACTTGCAGCCCCATGATGGGTTTCCATTGCCTACTGGTCCTCTGGTGTTAACTGTGACTCTGGTTAACTCTAGGCCAAGCCAGGGAGCCTCACCCAACAGGCTTCCTTGGCACCCCCTCCCCAGGGCAGGATGTTTCTAGGTCTCTGAGCACTTGCATCAAGGAACTCAGCATGGATGAGGGGCCGGGGTTCCTCCCACCCCTCTGGGAGACCTGGCCTGAGATCCTAGCACAGGATCAGCCGTCCCCAGTGTAGCTATTTAGGGGAATAAACAAGCGGAGCGGAACATTATTGCTGAAATAATACAATTTTTAAAACCTTTAAAGTATTCATAAAAATGTACTGTTGTGAGGTGCACGCGAGCTCATGCTAGACATGTGTAAGGTTTATTAAGGAGTCTTTATTAACCAAGCTTGGTGATAACAGGGCCCACTAGAAATGGCAAATCACAAGCCCATGTGGCATTCCAGCCAATTGTAACCCCTAAAGGAACAAATGGTCATTACCCTGAAGTCCATCCATTAAGCTGAAGACCTATGTCCCAACTTCTCCAACAATATAAGTTATCCTGAGAGACATGCAATGAATAACCTGGACACACAAAGTTGCAGACATTCACCTTTCCATGGCTTCTCTGCCCACATTCCATTATTGCCTAGCCTTACCTCTCCCAGAATTCCTGATAGTGCACACATTAGAAATACAAATCATCTTATCACTGCTATCTTCATTGTCCCACCCAAGCAGTAAACAGAGGGTGAGGAATACAGACACACAGGAGCCATGCTCAGGGGCCTGTCCTCAGAGGTACTGGAGTGGGGGCCAAGAATCAGAGTGCCAGAACAATGGAAGAACAGGACCAAGGGAGAGAACCTCTTCTTATCATTTATAGGGGCCTGTGATGGGCGTGGTTACACAACAATGCAGTACCGCCCCCTCTCAGGTGATAAGTGAGAGTCACAGGTGGGCAGGAGGGAACGCCTAGGTGGAGGGGGGTGACTTCCAAGCTGGTGACCCTGAACTAGCTGCCTACCTCACCACAGTACCATTTTATCCTTCTGAGGACGCCCATGTCTCCCAGAGCAGGCAGCATTAGGAGCTGCCAAGATGATCATGACTATGAGTTTGTTCCTGTTCTATACAAAATAGCATGCCAGATTAAACCCACAGCTCTGAAACAGTGGTAGACAAAATGTCTCTACTAGTTAGGTGCTCATTTGTTAAAGATTTATTTTATTTTACTGAAAGGCAGATATACAGAAAGCAGACAAAGAGGAAGATCTTCTGTCCGATGATTCACTCCCCAAGTGGCCGCAAAGGCCAGAGCTGAGCCGATCCGAAGCCAGGAACCTCTTCTAGGTCTCCCACGTGGGTGCAGGGTCCCAAAGCTTTGGGCCGTCCTCGACTGCTTTCCTGGGCCACAGGCAGGGAGCTGGATGGGAAGCGGGGCTGCCAGGATTAGAACAGGCGCCCATATCGGATTTTGGCACGTTCAAGGCAAGGACTCTAGCCACTAGGCCACGCCGGGCCCAACCGTAGCATTTTCTATGTAGGTATAGCTCGATGATACTACATCATATTCGGCTACACTCCTAGGTGTTTCTCTTCTATTTGAGGGTATTCCTCGGGTAAAGAAGTCTCTCGGGCCCAGAAAATGGCTTCCAGGAGAATGAAGGATTTCCATTTTGGCCTCCAGGCTTTGACTTTGCCCACTCTTACTGAGATTGCTAGGGTCCAGGACCCGAGCAGCCCGGCTCAGCCATGGCAGACGCGGTCGGGTCCGGGTAGGAGCCCGGCGGGAACGCGCCCGGCGGGAACGCGCCCGGCGGGATCGCGCCCGGCGGGAACGCGCGCGGTGACTGGCCCGGCTGCAGGCCGCCCCGCGCCCGGCGCACGCGCAGGCCGCCCATCCGGCGCGGCGGGAGGCTGTTCGGCCCCGCGGTTCCCGCACACCATGCTGCTCTGGGCCGTGCGCTCCCCGGCGGCGGCCGCCGCACTGCGCCTGGGCGCCAAGAGGACGGCGCCATGGACGGCCGCCGCGCTCCGGATCCCCGAGGCGGCCTCCATCAGCCGGCGCTGGGGGAGCGGGGCGCTGCGGGGCGTCGCGTGGCGAGCGCAGGTCGGCCGTCGCGGGGTCAGGCCTGGGCACTGGGAGTGCGTGGTGCGTGGTGCGTGGTGCGTGGCGCGTGGCGGTCCTTGGCGAGGTTTGCAGGAGCAGCAGGTGGAGGCCTCAGGGGACGGCGGGTGGTTAGGTGGCCCTGGGCCCGCGAGGCTGGCCACACCTGCCGTGGGAGTGTGTTCAACACTTGGCGGTTTGTGTGACTTGGTTTCTTCCTTTTCTACACCTAGTAGACGCTCGGCTGGGTTAATTTGGCAAGAAAGCCAGTGCCGTACTTGATTATAGCACGGAAAGGACAGCTTGTCCTGCAGTTAGAGCCACATTTTATTATGTGGCTCTGTTTGTTGGCATTCCTTTGGACCCTAGGAAAAGGAACCCCGTGGACGTTAATCCTTTCACGTTGTTTTAAACAAATTATCTCCCAATTCTGTCTTCTGAAATGTCAGAATTGGCACACCGGGTGGAAGGTATGCTTAAAGTAGAAATTGGAATCTAATTACACACCCACGTGAGAACTAGCATGTCTTTAAACATTCACAAGTGCGGGTGCTGTAGAATTCATTTTCAAATATTTTCATTTTCAGGGAACTTGTTTCTCAAAAATCGGTGTAGATTTCAGTTAAAAACATTTTTCTCGGGAGGAATGGGGTGGGGTGGGGTGGGAAAGGAAGGTGAGGTATTTACAAGGCCTTTGAGGAAAATGTTGCTTTCTTATTTTTAAATAACATCTACATTATATGTGTTTGAAAACTGCTAATTTATTTGAAAGGTGGAGAGAGAGAGAGAGAGAAAGAGCTCTCCCATTCACTCCCTAGTGCAGTCCAAGTTTCTGCTTGTGGGGCAGGGAACCAAGCACTTGAACCATCACTCCCTGGGTGTGCAGTGGCATGAAATTAGGATAGAAGCAGAGGCAGGACTCCAACTCAGACACTTAAGTGTTTTATTTTGCAAAGTTAATGCATTTAAGTAACAAGTGACATGGAAGAAACTCCCACTAAACTATTTTGCTTGCTCAAAGTCATGCCAGATCTAAAAACCAGAGTTGGGTTGCAAACCTGGCAAGCTCTAAAACGACTCTCCGTTGTGACTGGAATTAGTGAAAGCCATTCTGATGGCCAGTTTGATATACGTGGCTCTGTCACTTCACAGAATTCCTCATTTGACAATCTTTCTTCAATATATTACATTTTTTTTAAGTTGGTCTAAAAATGCATAGGTACTAATTTGACATTGGTCTGTGTTTCAGCAGATGCCTGTTTGTTGGGAAGGATGTGTTCGATGCCTACATACACAGGTTAGCAATTCTGAAGATGGAAGACTGATTTATACTGGGAATCTGGCCCGGGCTGTATTCGGTGGGTAACTGAAAGTGAGGGTAGTGCTTTATTTTGCTTTTCATTGTGGAAAAGAGTCTTAGCATATGTTACCTTTTGCCTTAGCATCCCTCATTGCAAGACATAAAGTAAAATTATACAAGTGCATGTTTTATTGAGCTTAGTTGATGAGATACAGAGATTGAGACCTTTACATTTTTTAAAAAGATTTATTTATTTTTGTTGGAAAGGCTGATATACAGAGAGGAAAAGAGACAGAGAGGAAGATATTCCATCTAATGATTCACTCCCCAAGCAGCTGCAACGGCTGGAGCTGAGCTAATCCAAAACCAGGAGCTTCTTCTGGGTCTCCCACGGGGGTGCAGGGTTCCAAGGCTTTGGGCCGTCCTTGACTGCTTTCCTGGGCCACAGGCAGAGAGCTGGATGGGAAACAGGCAGCCGGAATTAGAACCGGTTGCCCATATGGGATCCTGGAGCGTTCAAGATGAGGACTTTAACTGGTATGCTATCATGCTGGGCCTCTGAGACCTTTACATTTTTAAGAGATTGAAGCTTGCATAATAATTTTGTGATCTTGTTGCTGAACATTCAAGATTCTGTCCTTTGGGCATCTATCTTGGGATATTTAACAACAAAATAAAAACAGAAAATGGTATTTGTGCAGACTAGTACCTCATAAGAATGGTTGTGTTTAGAGTGGGACAGGGAATGTGTTCCGTTTTTCAATAACAAGGAGCAGCTTAGAAGGGAACAGCTTTGCTTTGCTGTGCACTTTGGAGGGTTACATCCAGGAGAAGGTGGCCCTGCAGACAGCTGCAGGTGTTGGGTGAGGCTGCAAGATGATGGTGGGATGAACACATGGCAAATGAAGAAGCACAGAGAGGCACAGGAGGCATGCTGGACTTACAGACCCAAGAGAACTTCCTAGGACAAGCCCCCTGTGACTTGAAGACCACTCAGCAAGGCTGCCTTTAAGATGCCATAATCAGATCAAGTTTCCAACCTTGGCCCATCAACTGTTAACTCAAGACTTTGTGGTTAGCACACCTGCAGGAGTCTGGGAGGCCAGATCCTGCTCAATCCAGGATTTTTTTTTTTTTAATTTTTGCTTCGTGTATTTTTTTCCCCCAATGATATATATATATATTTTTATTTGAAAGGCAAACTTATAGACAGAAGGAGAGAAAGAGATCTTCCAGCTGCTGGTCCACTCCCCAAATGGCCACAATGGCCAGAACTTGGCCAATCTGAAGCCAGGAGTCAGGAGCTTCTTCTGGGTCTCCCAGGCGGGTGCAGGGTCCCAAGGCTTTGTGCTGTCCTCTGCTGCTTTCCCAGGCCACAAGCAGGGAGCTGGATGGGAAGTGGAGCAGCCAGGACATGAACTGGTGCCCATATGGTATAGTGGCCACACAGGGAGAGTTAGCCTATTACACCACTTCACCAACCTCATGCTCCAGGTATTTCTAAATTTGTTAGTTAAAATGAATGCAGGATGCTTCTTTTATAGTTATAAAATATGTAATTTATACATTTGCTCCTATCATCTTAGCATTTGCAATTAATATTTATTTTTGTGCCTTTTCCAGGTGATAGAATTATCAAGAAAAGACAGTGTATTAAATAGCTCTTGGGTCCTGGCTTTGACTGGCTTAGCGCTGGTCATTGTAGCCGTTTGGGCAGTGACCCAGAGGATGAAAGACTTTCTCTCTGTGTCATTCTGCCTTTCAAATAAATTAAAAATACATATTCCTTAAAAAGTATAATTTTTACTATTTAAAACTTTTTGGGAATGAAGACATTATAATCCCATTGAGTGGGGTTCTGAAAAGACTGGAGAAACCAAATTTAGAAGTTTAGGAAATTCTTTGGAGTCATTTTGTGATTCCATTATCAAGCCTTTGTGTCTGATGTCCTGTCTCAGGGTCCCAAAGCCCCGGGCCGTCCTCGACTGCTTTACCGGGCCACAGCAGGGAGCTGGATGGGAAGTGGAGCTGCCAGGATTAGAACCGGCGCCCATATGGGATCCCAGCATGTTCAGGCCATGCTGCTGGGCCCAATATTATGATTAATTTAAAAATCGCTTTGTGTATTAGGTATTGGTATTATTTTTCAATGTAGAACCTGAGGGAATGAAATTAAGATAGAGATAACATTCTTGAAGATTCTCCTTATTGATGAAGTCCAAGTCTACTGACACTCAAGGGCTTTTGGTTTACAGTTATTATTACTTCAGCACTTCCTATCAGTGTTATCCCTAAACTCCTTGTACATTGTGTCAGGGATGTTAGTTAAGGGCAATATAAAGTCTTAGAGTCTGATAGGAAAGAAAAGGTGAATGCCTAAAATAATCCTGGTAATTAGTTAGGACTTAGAGAATAGGCTTGAGGAAAGCAGATGTATCATTTTCAGATTGGAGAGTCAGAACAAAAACTGTTTGTCTCAACAGGGTGGCATCTCGGCAGGGCCTTTGAGCATGAGTGGAATTTTCATTTGAAGCCGTGTAAAAGGAGGGCATTCCAGAACTGGTAGTAATTTGGCCAAAGGCACTAAGAATAGAGAACCCTGGATAGTGTAGAAGGTTAAAGTGGAGCCTATACTGATTTCCTTGGGCTTCTGTAATAAGTGACTTAAAAACAATGGGAGTTTATTTCTTGCCCTTCTGGAGGCTGGATGTGTGACTTGAAGGTCACAGGGCCAGGCTGTCCTGCAGGCTTGCTGGGAAGCATTGTGCAGTTTCCAGCCTTCCCTGGTAATGGGCTGTGTGACTCCTGCTGTCTCCGTCTGCAGGTGGCCCTCTGGTTAGGATGATGCTTTCTGTCTTTATAATGGGCACTCCCCTTGAATTTAGGACCCATACTAATCCTGTATGATCTCGCTATTTAAACTGCAAAGACCCTGTTTCCAAACAAGGTCACATTCTGATGTGACTGGATGTGAACTGTCAGAGAACACAGTGTGACAAAGTGAAAGCAAATGAAGTGTTTATTTTGGAAGGTCTGAGGAGACTTTTCTATATGATGCAGTTTGGTTCTCTTGGTACTGCCAAGTGCCAGTGTCATAACAGCTTAATGTGGGAAGACAGAAGGAGGAAATACTGTAACATGACCAAGAGAACAGAATTAAACCTTCAGCCGGCAGCAGTGTATTAGAGCTCTTTGTTGTTTATTTTTCTTTTAATATGTTTTTATTTTGAATTTTTGAATTATGTGGTACAATTTTGTGTATTAGAGCTCTTTGTTGCATACTTACTAACAAAATGCCTTCAGACTTGATTTTCCTAGTTTGGAGAAAATAACAATCTAATTATATGCTTCTTATGAGTGAAGCCAAATTTTATCTGTTTAAAGACTGTATGCTAAAATGCCCTTAAATTTGTTGATTTTCTTATTCTACTAATGCTTTAGATAGTGGAAATATTAACTTTTTGATATAGGTTGAATATATTGCTTCTCGTTTATCTCCCTACTTTGTTTATGTTGTTTATGTACATTTTTAAAAATGTACCCTCCTCCATTTCAGTTTCTTTCTGGTTGCTTCTGTATTTTGAGTTCTGAAGGTTTTGTTATCCCAGATGATAAAGGGATTCATAGGTATTTTCTGTAGTTTTAGTTTTTATATTTGTTTAATTTTTTAAATGAGTTTCTTTAGTTATTGGCCAGTCAGAGCAAAGCAGGCAGCACACAGATGCACAGAGGTGTGCAATTAGACCGTAGAGAGTTCCCTGAGGACGGCAGGGCACCCGGCTCTCGGGGTTGGCAGGCTGGCAGGGGGAGGTAGAGCCCAGAGCCAGGAGTTAAGCACTGGCGCTCAGTGTGGGAGGAAGATGTCCGAGCTGTGAAGCCAAAGGCCTGCTCGTAATATTTATACTTAAACCTTGGGACTATGTAGAATTCTTTTGATGTATGCTATGAGGAATAAATTATTTATCTGCTTCTGTTTGGCTAGCCAGTTATCCAACAATATTTTAAAAATTCATGTTTTACCCAGTGCTGTTAGGTTATGTCTTGGTCGTATACTAAATGCCCATGCGTAATTATGTTTATTTCTGTTTTTCATTTTGTTCCATTGATTATTTTTCCCCTAAAATCTCTTTATTTGAAAGAGAGAGTCATAGAGAAAGAGGGAGACACATAGAGATCTTCTGTCTGCTGATTCACTCCCCACATGGCTACAAGGGGTAGAGCTGGGCTGGTTCAAAATTGGGAGGCAGAAACTAGGCTGAGCTGGAGTACAGCAGCTGAGACGTGAACTGGCACCCATTTGGGATGCTAATGCCACAGGGTGGAGATTAGCCTGCTGTGCCACAGTGCCTGATCTTTTTATTGTGATGATATATCCATGACTAATATTTACCATTTCAGGTATTTTTAAGTATGTGGTTCAAAAATTATTTATTTATTTGTGCAGCAGAGTTATGTATAGAGAAATAAGAAAATCTGTTTGCTGGTTCACTCCCTAAATGGCTGTAATGCTTCAGCCATTGCAGCCACTTCAGGAGTGAACCAACAGATGGAAGAGATTTCTCTCTGTCTCTCTTTTTTTCTGCAAATCTGCCATTCCAGTTAAAAGTAAAATATATCAGGCCCAGCGTGGTGGCCTAGTGGCTGAAGTTCTCACCTTGAACGCTCCGGGAACCCATATAGGCGCGGGTTCTAATCCTAGCAGCTCTACTTCCCATCCAGCTCCCTGCTTGTGGCCTGGGAAAGCAGTCGAGGATGGCTAAAGCTTTGGGACCCTGCACCTGTGTGGGAGACCTGGAAGAAGCTCCAGGCTCTTAGCTTTGGATTGGCATAGCACCATTCATTGTGCTCACTTGGGGAGTGAATCATCGGATGGAAGCTCTTCCTCTCTGTTTCTTCTCTCTGTATATCTATCTGACTTTGCAATAAAAATAGATAAATCTTTTTAAAGAAATAAAATAAAATATATCATATATAAAGATAATTAGAGTTAAAAGGAAGAGACCGATCTCCGATCTACTGGTTTACTTTTTTTTTAAGTCTTTTTTTAAAAAAGTTTATTTTTATTGAAAAGTCAGATATACAGAGAGGAAGATCTGCTGTGCACTGGTTCACTCCCCAAGTGGCCACAATGGCCAGAGCTGAGCCGATCAGGAGCCAGGAGCCAGGAGCCTCTTCTGGGTCTCCCACACGGGTGCAGGGTCCTGAGGCTTTGGACGTCCTCCAGTGCATTCCCAGGCCACAAGCAGGGAGTTGGGTGGGAAGCAGGGCCACCGGGATTAGAACTGGTGTCCATATGGGATCTTGGCATGTGCAAGGCGAGGACTTTAGCTGCTAGGCTACTATACCTGGCCCTAGTTTACCTTACAGATGGGCCAAACAGCGGGACTGGGCCAGGCCAAAGCCAGGAGTGAGGAACTTCTTCCAGGTCATTAACAGGGAGCTGGATGGGAAGTGGAATGTTGGGGACATAAAGCAGCACCTATATGAGAGGCTGGCTTTGCAGGTAGCTTCTTTACCTGTCTGCCACAACTCTGGCCCCAGAATCGTTGATTTTAATCTTCCTAATGTGATAGGTAAAAATAAAGTCTCAGAGTTTTAACTTGAATGCCTTTCCTTGCTATAGCAGTTGAATACCTTCTCCAAATCCTGCTTACCTACTCATATTATTTCTTTGAAAATTTGCTGTTATAATTCTGTTGTGTCTAGACATAGAAATTTCTATGTTTAAATATTGAGTTTTTGAGAATGAGAGTGATTGTGTGGATAATCTTCTGTCTGAATTAATTTTTCTTCTGTTGGAGATCTTAGGTGGAGACTGTTCACTGCTAAAGCAGATGTCGTTGTAAATGTAGATTTCATTGTAAATGGTCTGCGGAGTAGTGTGGTGTTGATTTGAGTTTGGTAGGTTGGGGATACAGCTAAGTGCCTCGTGTTTCTCATTCCAGTGAGCTTTAGCACAGTGTGTATCCCCGTTATACACATCATAGGGCTTCTCTGTAGATCCCATGAGTAAATTGTATAAAATGTTTAAAACCACCTGGCCTATGATAAATGCTGTATTTGTTCTCTGATCTTATTTTTACTTAAATAAAAGTGGAAGCATTAGTAGGACAGATTAGTTTTTTTTATGTAAAAATTGAAGGTAGTAATTCTTTCCTGTTTTCCCCCCGTTTTAGGTGTTAAATGTTTCTCTTACTCTACAAGTGTGATCAGTCTTGCATTTCTGCCGTACATTTTTGCCCAAAGTAATTTATTTGGAAGCTTGCCTCTGCAAGTCTTGTTTTATGGCATCGTCGGCAGCTTCACTCTGATCACCCCAGCACTCCTTCACTTCGTGACGAAAGGCTACGTTGTCCGGTTGTACCATGAGGCCACGACGGACACTTACAGAGCCGTAACCTATAACGTTGTACTTTCAGAAACCAGCACGGTGTTTCAGCAGAGCGACGTGGAGATTCCAAACAGTGCACACGTGTTCACCACCTTTTATGCGAAAGGAAAATCACTGTTAGTTAATCCAATGCTCTTTCCAAACCCTGAAGACTATAACCATCTAATGGGTTATGACAAACCATTCACTTTTGGTGTGGAAGATGACAGTGAAAAGAAACCGCTTAAGGATGAAAAATAGAGCTTATCATTTTTGTTTGTACTTAAAAGTGATTTATGTTTCAATAAATTGATTTAATGTAATAAATATTGCCTTTATTTGTATTGCTGGTGGTAAAGGTAGTTTATTTTTATCAGTTTTGAATTTTCAGAGAATTATGTTCTAATACTAAAATATGCTAGATTTGAAAGACATAACATAGTTATGTACCATTTTTATTTAAAGGAAAGCGTAAATGTACCTGTGCAGGGTGGTATGTATGTGTGTAATTGAAGAACCATATAATAGATGTGATCGCCCCTACACCGTATGGCAGATGCCAAATGCAAAGGGGAAATTTACTTTTTCCTTTTTGTTAAAAACGTGAAAAATTTGAAGATTATGTGAATTAGTGTTTATACTCCTTTAACAGCATGAGTTTTTGTGTCTCCTCTGGTGTGTTTCCTTAGTAAGAATTGCCATAGTTAGCTGTAAAGAATGTATCTTCAGTGGTCCCGTTTGTCCTTCCAAGTGCACTCCGCGCACACTGTCAGAGAAGGGCAGTCCCTGATGTTGAACCAACAGACAGTACCTGCTCTGAAATAGTGGCCTCCATGTTAGTCTTTGTCGAGAATGGGCATCTTAAAATTTTCTTACCTGATTGTGATATGAAAGCTGATTCTTGTGAAAGATTTCCAACCATAATCAAGAGGCCTCAAAGCATGCTGTTTAGGGCATCATCATTATGGTAGAGGTAAGTTTGTGATGCTGGCATCCCATATAGGCCCTAGATCATGTCTTAGTGGCTTCGTCTCTGATTCAGCTCCCTGCTAATGACCTGGAAAAGCAGCAGAAAATGGCCCAAGTACTTGGGCCCCTGCTGCTCACACGGGAGATCCACATAAAACTCCTGGCCAATACTGATTATTGTGGCCACATAAGGAGTTAACCAACAAACAAATGGAAGGCTTCTCTGACTTTCAAAATACATGTTCTTTAAAACTTATGGCATTTAGATCTGTGGATGTTTATTCAGTGTTTCAAGTGTGACCCAGAATTACAGAAGATAACCCTTTTTGAGGCTCGCCAGCAGTGTGACTGTAGCCATAAGAGTAAATTGAATTCAGTCTGTGGCTTGCATGTGTGTGGGATTTTGTTAGGAACACATTAGGAAGCATCAGTAGTTTGTATAGAAAGGTCATCCAAGTCTCGGGCAAAAGTCAGCCTGAGACCTAGATCACCCAACAATTGACTGAGAACTTGGCAACTTGCTTTCAGGTCGGCCTGTGTCTGCTTTCTGTCCTTTGTTGCTGGATATAGATTATCCTGACCCTGGCAGTGAGTGAGGAAGTTTTAAAATTTAATTTTATAATTTTTAATATTTATGTAGTTTAGGGGGATGCATGCCCATGTGGCCTATGACTTCAGGGGGGCGGGGCAGGGAAGATCAGGTATAGAGGAAGGTGGGTAGGATGCATACTTAAAGATTTTTAAAGAAAGATTTATTTATTTTTATTGGAAAATTAGATATACAGAGAGGAGGAGAGACAGAGAGAAAGATCTTCCGTTCGATGGTTTACTCCCCAAGTGACAACAATGGCTAGTACCAATTCAAAGCCAAGACCCTGGGGCTTCTTCTAGGTCTCCCACACAGGTGCAGGGTCCTAAGGCTTTGGGCCATCCTTGACTGCTTTCCCAGGCCATAAGCAGGGAGCTGGATGGAAAGCAGGGCTGCCAGGATTAGAGCCGGTGTCCATATGAGAACTTGGGCAATGAAGGCAAGGACTTAAGCCACTAGGCCTCCGCACCAGGCCTATAGGGATCTGTTCTAGCCCCAGCAGTCCCAAAACTGAACCTGTTACTCAATATAGCTTGCATGAAATCCTCCAGTTCAGATGTATAGCTGTGTGATCCATAAGACCCTTGTCTAAAAGACTTGTGTCAGGGAACAGCAATTTGCATAGGAAAGAAATGTGTGTCCTGAAAGTTTAAGTGGACTCATTTTTGTTGCTATCAACTGGAAAGTGTCTTGCTTTGTTTTCAAAGCTTGAATCACTCATCAAGATTTAGAGAAGAATACATTCTGAATCATTTCCCCTTTCTGCAGGAAGTGCTCAAATATTTTATGCAGAGCCACATGTAAAAAAAAAAAAAAAAGGAAGCAGTTGGAAGGGCTCTCAGAAATCATGTGACAGATCTGATGACTCTGTTCCATCTTCTCTATGTACTCCAAGAGTCTGAAAACTAGCTGGTGATCCTCCGCGCATCTTAACAGTTTGGGAATTAGTGAATCATGTTCAGCTTCATGCTTTTTTCTACGCTGTTCTCTCCTTTAGTTACTGAACCTGAGAACCACCACTGGTTCTGCAACTCCTCTGATACAATTTTTTACTTCAGCTACTGTGGTAAGTAAAACAGCGACATGAATTTATTGCAGCATCTGTTATGTTGAGGGTCAGTTCTGGAAGGAATTTCCTGCTGCTCTTGCTGGGTCCAGGAAATGCCTGTGTGTTTCAGCTGCTGCGGCGAAAAACAATCTCACTGCCGAGTGTGGATGGGCTCCACCCCTCAGAGCTCAGTTTCTAAACTGTGTGCTCTTTTTCTGCCAGTGCTTCTCTTCTTTTACAACCAGCTGCCTCAGCCCCGAGCCCAGCTTCCGCTTCTTTCCAGTTTCACTGCTTCTGAGCAGTGGCCTCAGCCCAAGCCTCCTTGGTTCTACATCCCGAGAGGACAGTGGAGGTCTGGCTGCCTCCTGGGGTTGAGCTCTGCTCCCACTGGGATGTGAGCACCGTAGGGACCATCTTCCTCACTTGGATGTAAGCTGGATTCTGTCCGTTTTGAGCTGTGAGATTATGAACAAAATCCATAGGGTCTTTATTTCCCAACCTTTTCAGTTGCAAAGCGATGGCGATATTGGAGGCTGCGCTAAAAGGGTTGTTGTTGGTAGAAGGTCATGCGGCAATGCTAGTACAGACTGCTTTTAACTCCCTCAGCTTCTTGTTAGCAAATGTGCAAGAGCTCTGGTTCGGTACTTTCCACTGTGTGTCTCAGCATGGGAGGCCTGCCCTTTTTACTCACAAGTAGTTTCAGGAAAATTAAAAAAAAATCCCTTCCCAAAGCACAAGTCCTTTGAGATTCATTTGAGGGGTGGGGAAAGAATCTCTAGCCTAATCATTTGGAGGGAATCTGTAAGTATATTTGGAGTTTTGCAAGAAAGAAACCTACTTAATCATGACATTTTCCAGTTTATTCTGTTATATTCTAGCAAATGCTACCAGAAAGTTACTCCTGGGAGAGTAAGGTAATTGTCTGTTGGAAGAATGAGGTGTGTGCAGAGCAGGCCTTCAGCAGAGCAGTGAAGGAGCCGCCTGGGGCACCTATATCCTTATCAGAGGTCCTGGTTCAAGTCCAAGTTTTGCTTGTGATTCTAGTCTCCTGCTTAGAGTGCCTTGGAAAGCAGTAGATAATGGCTCATATAACTGGGACCCTGACACTCTTGTGGGAGACCTGGGTGGAGCACCTGGCTCTGGGCTTTGGCCTGGCCCTGCCTGGGCTGTTGGCAGGCGTCTTGGGAGGGACCAGCAGATGAGAGATCTTGGTCTCTGTCTTTTCTTTCTATCTGCTTTTTGCATGCACTAAAACACACACACACACACACACACACACCTAAAAATAGTAGAAAAAGGGCACAGCATGGTAGCCTAGTGGCTGAGGTCCTCCCCTTGAATGTGCTGGGAACCCATATGGGTGCTGGTTCTAATCCTGGCAGCTCCACTTCCCATCCAGCTCCCTGCTTGTGGCCTGGGAAAGCAGTCAAGGATGGCCCAAAGCCTTGGGACCCTGCATCCATATGGGAGACCTGGAAGAGGCTCTGGGCTCCTGGCTTTGGATTGGCTCTGCTCTGACTGTTGTGGCCACTTGAGGAGTGAATCATCGGATGGAAGATTTTCCTCTTTGTCTCTCCTCCTCTCTGTATAGCTGCCTTTCCAATAAAAATAAATAAATCTTTAAAAAAAATAGGAGAAAAAAAGGAACATGATTTGTAACCAGTCACGTATGTGAGCTGAATGGGATGTGGGGCAAACTGGCTTAGTTTGCTGCACGTACTGGTAAGCACGGAAACCAGGGGCAGGGGGCAGGCTTAGTAAGGGTTATTGGGAGTCATCCCAACCAGGCTGTAGCTCTTACTGGTTTACATGGCCAAGTGTGTGGTGGGCAGGATTGGGATGGGCTCCAACACCCATTGGTTTGTGTAGAAGACGGGACTGGAGGCAGAACTGACCCAGCAATTGCAACCACCAGCATATGCGTAGGCTGATAGGGATGACAGACTATACTGGTAAGTACACCCAAGGATCTGATCTGGGATCACTTCAGACAAAATTTCTTTGGGGATACTTGAACTGCCGGACTCAGAATCCCAACCATCAAGAGAACAGAAGGTTCCATGGTCTGACCATGAAGTTCTTATGTCAAAGCTGAGCCACCTCAGTGACTCAGATGGAGCAGTGGACAGCATATCTAGGTGCACATGGAGAATATGGCAGTCCATTGGAGCCTGCAGAGGAGACTTGGTACCACAATAGAAGATCAGGACAGACTAAATTGATCAACTACTCCAGCCAAATGCTGGCAGTGAAAATCTGGGCAAGTGGAAACACTAAGGTGGACTATGTCAGCCAGTGGATTCTGGAGGGATTTCAATGTGCTTGGAATGACGAGATCAGTAGTTCAGAACAGTTGAACTAACTTGAGCAGTGCCCTTGGCGCATGCCCCGCATCAGGGACCCTGGGATGGTTGGGAGGGTGTGTATGGCTTCTTCCTTTGTTTCTCCCCTTCTTCCAGATACAGAAAGGAAAAAAGTGAATGTGGAAACAGTGGTCTTACCCACTTTCCTGTAATCCTTGACCCTTTGAGCCATAATTAACCATGTAAAAATCATCAAAATAAAAAAACCCAGCAAAATAATAATAAAAAAGAAGAGTCTCTGGAGGGGCTAGCACAATAGCTCAAGCAGCTAAGACTTCACCTGCAAGTGTGGTACCCCACCTGTTTTCCAGTTTGTGTGCCAGCTGCTCCACTTCCCATCCAGCTCCCTGCTTATGGACTGAGAAAAATAGCAGAGGACGGCCCACAGCCTCAGGAGCCTGCTCTCGCGGGGGAAACCCGGATGAAGCTCCTGGCTCCTGGCTTTGGATAGACTCAGCTTCAGCCATTGCGGCCACTTGGGGAGTGAACTGGTGGATGAAGATTTTTGTCTCTTTCTGTCTCTCCTTCTTTCTGTAAATCTGCCTTTCCAATGAAAATAAATAAATTTTTTTTTTTTAAAAAAAGGAATTTCTGCAGAGGGGTATCCCACACTTCTCTGCCTACTTTTGAGTAGTACAATTCAGTGTTCTCAAGCCTTTCAATTCATTTCTAATTTTTTTTTATTGTTGCTTACACTGTATTATGTAGTACAGTTTTATAGGCGCTGGGGATTCCCCCCACCCCTCCCCATACCCCTCCCCCCATGGTGGATTCCTCCACCTTGCTACATAACCATAGTTCAAGTTCAGTTGAGATTCATTGCTTGCAAACACATGCCTAGCATAAAGTTCAGCGTCTTATTGTCCAGATAAGTTCAGTGGCCTCCTGGGGAGACCTTCTATGGTCTGAAGATAGGTCTAACAGAGTAAAGATCCGGTCGGTTAAAAGCCCCAACAAGGCCTCAGTATCAATATACAACATTATGGAATTAATTGACATAGTAATGGGTAAACAATATGTTAAAAATAATGCAAGTTCCATTCTTCGAAACATCTGGGTTGAGACAGTATCAATGACAGGTTCAAAAAATAACAAACAACCAAACAAAAAATTACAGGTTAAATCAAGGCAAACATGTGGTATCTAATCTTTTGGGATTCACTCATTTCCCTTAGCATTATAGTTTCCAGTTGTGCCCATTTAGCCACAAAGAACTGCATTTTGTTTTTTTTAATAGCTGAGTAGTATTCCATGGAGTAGATGAACCAAAGCTTTCTTATCCAATCTTCTGCTGATGGGCATTTCGGTTGCTTCCATGTTTTTGCAATTACTGATTGTGCTGCAATGAACATAGGGATGCATGTTGGTTTGTCGTAAAACAGGTGTTTTGGATATATTCCTAGGAGTGCTATTGCTGGGTCATATGGCATGCAGATTCCGAGTTGTTTGAGTGTTCTCCAGACTGATTTCCATAAAGGCTGTACCAATTTGCAGCTCCACCAGCAGTGGAGTAGGGTTCCCTTTTCCCCGCATCCTCGCCAGCAAGCGTCGTTGGTGTTCTTGTTTATGTGGGCCAATCTTACTGGTGTTAGGTGGTACCTCATCGATGTTTTAATTTGGATTTCCCTTATTGCTAGGGAGCTGGAACATTTTTTCATATGTTTGTTTGCCATTTGGACTTGTTCCTTTGTGAAATGTTTGCCCATTTCCCTTGCCCATTTCTTGAGTGGCTTGTTTGTTTTGGTTTTTTGGTTGTTTTGAAGTTCTTTGTATATCCTGGAAATTAGCCCCCTATCGCCTATATTGTGTGCAAAGATCTTCTCCCACTCTGTGGGTTGCTTTTTTACTTTGTTGATTGTTTCCCTTGCTGTACAGAAGCTTCTTAGTTTGTTGAGGTCCCATTTGTTTATTCTGTTCTCAACTGCTATTGCTTTTGGTGTCCTTCTTAGAAAGTCGGAACCTACTCCTAGGTCTTGCAGTGTATTTCCTACATTTTCTTGCAAGAGTTTGAAGGTTTCTGGATGTAGGTTTAGGTCTTTTATCCATGTAGATTGGATCTTAGTGTATGGTGATAGATGTGGGTCTATCCTTTTGTTTCTACAGGCTATCAGCCAGTTGTCCCAACAACATTTACTAAAGAGGCCTTCCCACTTGCTTGAGCTATCATTGGTCTTTTTGTCAAAGATTAATTGGCTGTATTTGTGTGGGTTCCCTTTTGGTGCTTCTATTCTACTCCATTGATCTTCCTTTCTGTCTTTGTGCCAGTACCAGGCTGTTTTGATAACCACTGCTCTATAGTATGTCCAGAGGTCCGGGATTGTGATTCCCCCTGCTAACCTCTTATTTTTCAGGATGGTTCTAGCTATTCGTGGTTTTTTGTGTTTCCAGATGAACTTTTGAATCATTGTATCCAGTTCCGTGAAGAATGTTTTGGGCAATTTGATTGGAATTGCGTTGAAAATGTATATTGCTTGTGGTAGTATAGACATTTTAATGATATTGATTTTGCCTATCCAGGAGCACGGGATGTTATTCCATCTTTTGAGGTCTTGTTCAATTTCCTTTTTAAATAGTTTGTAGTTTTCTTCGAATAGGTCTCCTACGCTTTTGGTTAGATTTATTCCCAAATACTTCATACTTCTCTCTGCTATTTTG